CAATTAAATTATATTTTACAGAGAAAATATAAAATATTAAAATATTTGATCAATATCTTTACTACTAACAATAAACATTAAAAAATAAATCTCAGTATCGACAATAGAAAAGAGCGGTACAAATATTGATAATTTATCACGTTAAAAAATCCGACACAAAATAAATAATTTATTATGCAATAAACTATATATATGTTGTGGTTGTCTTATTAAATATTAGAATGTATTATATTTTAATTTCATATATACCATATATATTCCAATTATATATTTATACTTATATATATTAACAATAATAACATACATGTCATCGTACGATTTAAAAAACATATTGGATATTACATATTAAATAAATTATATGGATATTATTGGATATAACAAATTGAACAGATTAACAGTAAAAAAATTTTTTTATTGTAATATTTTTCTATTGTAAAATATCATCAGCGCAAAAGCCAAATTTTCGTAGATTTTTTTCAACGGGTAGCATGATTCGATCGCCGTGGCGATTCACGGATTACCACGATATTTTTGCATCGATATCGTCGTTTCACGCACATTTCGTATACTTGCTATTTATAGAGATTCCGTCACTGTACTTGCAAACCAGAAGCTCTTCTCCTTAGCGTCTCGACCGCGCAAACATCGCGGATAATCTCGGGATATATGTACGAAAATTTGCATACGCTCGTACGAATGTAATCGACTGCAACTATCTGTAATTATCGGCGAAATTTTCGTGATTTTCGTGATAACGAATTTGCGTATATCGAAGGTGTAAATTAATTGCGACGCGGTCGTTTGCACGATATTCTTGAATCCATTTCGTGTTTCATTTACATACGTTTCTTTATGTAAAATAATTTTGCACAAATTTTTTAAATTGCCGTTATTTTGTAAACAATTTTTTTGCGAAAGTAAGAACATCACACATTTATTTTTACGTCACGTTTATTTTCTACAAGCCTTTTGTAAGATCGATAGTCCAGTGATATCCGTATATAAAATTTTACACGGCAAGTAGTAATTGTTTCGTTGTATGATGATGCACTCATAATAAATCCGACATGTATAATTAAATACATTCTTGTGAGAAACGTGGCTCGTGTTGTTCGCGGAATTACAAACGATGTCTGTTACCTAATTACGTCGGATGCGTCTCGTTAGATGCGCTCGTTGGATGAACGAGCGCATTTATTGCATTTTCGATGACACACTGTTGTACGTACACATTCGGTGGCACGTTTTGAATACAACATTGTCATTATTCAAAATACTTAATTTGAAAAAGCAAGATGAAAACACGAGAAAAGTAAATTACGCTGATAGAACGTTTCTTTTTTTTTCTCAATTTCGAAGCTCATCGACTAAAATAAAATTCATAATTACGTATCTTAAAATATCTACTCGTCTTTTATAGAAATATTGAGTTATATTTAAAACGTCCTTGTTCGAATAGTGTTATTTATGTAAATCGCAGTCGCTTTTCTCATTTATATACTTTTAAAGATAAAATTTAACAAAATTCAAGTACAGTGCATCGCGTTGTTACATCAACATGACATTGACATTGACGCATTGCTCGTTCGCGAATGATCCCCACTACGGGGCACTGGAATCAAGCACTAAATCATGATGCAAGAAAGGTGAGGAGCTTGCGGAAAGCCTACAGGCGATTTTACGCAGTAATTTTTGCGACATCGAGGCAACCGCATCGCTCACGTTTTAGAGCTAGACGCGTTCAGCTTTTGCACAGTATCGACTTGTCTCGCTACCGCGGCAAGGATCCACGATGCTCTTGGATGAGGATCTCTATCCACCTAGGCATAAGACGGTGGTCAAATTTCGGTATGTTACGCACAGATTGCGTAAACTCGCGTCCAAATGCACATTCGCGTTAACATTGGGTATTTATTATATTTTATTTGTATCATACTTTGACAGGTTTAGTTGTTCGTCGCAATTTTGAAAAAAAAAAAACAATTTCATCGCGTAATTAATTAATTAATTTTTATTAATTTATCATTTTCTTCGAGATTCTCATATATTGTCGAACTTAACAATCTGCGATGCATTATCAATTAGAAATACACTCTGATCGTTTAATTTAATATATCAAAATTTAATTATTTGCAATTTTACTCGTCATTTTTTGTCATATGTAGTTTCAAAATTCATTTTTGTCATAACTGACTCACAAAAGATTCCGTCTATAAATATGCGCCGTGGTAAGTTGCTCGATATCGATTGCGTATTCTCGATAGAACATTCGTAGGAGGTGAGTATGGTCCATTACGAAGTCCGAATAATCACGTGTTCCTGACGTAATGTTAGCGTTCAGGGACGTTTACCGCAAATAGACAAGTGTGTACGACACATCATTTGTGCGTGGAGAGAGAGACTTCGATGAAAACATTTCCTGACTTGACGTATAGACTACGATTCTGTCTTAGTAAGGTGTATAGTTTTCGACGTATATTTACGCATGTATTCAAATCTTTTTCTTTTTATTCTCATTTGAATTCAATTTTGCTTATATGTTTCGAAATTGCTCATTAATTTATAAATATAATAAAAGTATTTTGTAATTCTTTGTTAATCTTTTTGTTTTTGTATAAAGGAAATGCCAAACATCATAATTTTAGACCGAATCAATAAATACAAAAGTAAATTTAGTTAATTGTTTTTATTAAGCAGAAAATATCTCTTTTTCTTACCTGGATTTCTTATTCTACAATAGGAAACTTGTAGCGATACATATCTTGATAGGATGTCAATAACTATATCATTCTTGCCTCTACTTTTACCTCAACTAAAAATATACAAAATAAAAGTTTGATAGTTGCGATATCTCGTGCAGATGAATTTGTGATGCCTTTACGGATAGACAGGCAGGCTTTCAGATAGCGCGTTGAGACTCGAGTAGCAACAGGAAATTGCCTCTTATAAGCAGGTCAATAGCTTGTTAGTTGACTTTGGCGAACTATGTTAAACTTTATGCTTGAACTTTCGCGAATACAACTGACGTGCTGTCGGTAGTCACGGCCTTTTACGATCGAAGACTCGAGCAACATGATGCATACGTGCCGAAGGGAAATTAATTTACTTTCACATATATATGCTCTTGTCTAGGCATACAACTATAGTCTTTCCATTTCACAATGTCGGCAATATATGACTATTATCAGTTAAGCCATTCATTGACTCTCAGTCATCTATATTGCGTAATGGCTAATAAATACGATTCCGCGTCGAAACGTGCTCTTTCATAGCTATTATCTAATTCGATTGTCCTTAGCTACGATTATTTTAGTCGATAAAATTAGTTAGCTAAATATGATTTGCGACATAGATGATTATCTTTCTGTTATTCGCCGAGTAAATCAGGTGATTGATAAATGATAATAATCGCTATCTACCATGAATCGTTTTTATACACGATTATATCTCTACCGTTTATTTTCCTGAACACGTTTACTGCTTTGCTTGACAGATGGCCATTTAGGCATTTTATTTCCATGGCAATAATAATGCAAAATAATGTGAAATTAGAAGTTAAATTAGAAGTTAAATTAGAAGTTGTTATTTTGACGTGATCCGCGTTTCGTTTGGCCTTTTCGTTCCTCAACGAATCAAGTTTTGTGAGAGCTTGCTCGCTATGGTTGACCTCCCTCGATTTCACGATACGAGATCCGACCTTTCTCTTGTCTGGCATAATTGTTCTCTACCACATTCTTTCCCACACAGCTTTCCTGTGATTTTACTTCAACCCTCTTGTTTCTGCTAGCGAATATCATGATATTTCAACATTTCCAATTTAGATTCGATTAAAATTTAGTGGAAATCAGAAAAAAATCGTATAATGCATTCACGTTCTCGAAATAGATTCGTCGAAAAAGAAAGTAGCAATTGATAGGAATATTTATTTGACGACGATAGACGGCGATCTTCCTCTCTCTCTGTTTCTCTTCTTCGTTCAATACTTATACGTATAAGGGAAATAAAACGCGGAAAACAGTCGTTATTACTGTTAAACATGTTATATTGCGTGACAGAATATAGTGACATCTCGTTCTTAGAATCCTTTTGCTATCAGAATTTATTCGACCATCACGAAATTTATATCACGAATGATGTCGCAATTTTCTTAAACACTATTTCCTACTGCGCTTTATACATTATTGTAAAATATAATTTTTGCTTCTAGAAAAATAAAAAATATATAAATTTAAAATATAAATTTATTGGAAAAAATCTGTACTCTGTTTTTTATAGATAAAAGGGACAATTCAAAACATTTTTTAAAATTATCTACTTGTACAATAATCGTAATTTTTAAATAATTATATATAATTGTATAGATACATGAATTTTTTCTAAATTTATGTGAATATTTTGAGGAACGATAAATGAGATTGAAAATAGCGGAGTATATTAAAATTGTTTTATGATTAAATCAAAGTGAGATAATTCCGAGAGAAAGTTAAGGTAAACAGATAAACATGACTTGAGAAATCACGTTTATCTTCGCTGCAAGTATAATTGTCTAACGACGTCGTTATCACGTACTATTTTAGTATTCTTAGTGGTAGTGGGATTCGACGACCTTTCCGAAGATGAAAAGCGACTTCCGGTTATCAGTATCGCGATATCCAATCCAGGACGACGTTATTTTATGCAAAACTCAAATCAAATCAAATCACTTTCTTATCTGCAGATAAACGTGCTTACGATCGATCGATTATCTCTAGAGATCGTTAACAAATTTAACATTGATCATATCAGCAGTTAGTGTAAAATTGATCTCCATGGGGAAAGGTCACCCAGATAAACGCAGGTATTGATTTTATAAATGTCGATGTGTCGTGCAAAATAATTTTACAAGTTTAAAAATCGAATAAGATTTATATATTATATATACGTGTTTGCCGAGTTATACGCTTATTATTTTCTTAAGTTGTACGAATAATTTGTACATAGCTTTTACGATTAATTTGCTGCGTGTCTGACGTGTATCAATTGTTTTAGTGCTTTTTTTACATTGGTCTTGTTTGAAATGAATTTGCCAGCATTCGAGAATATTTTAGATTTGCCGTAGAGTTATAGAGAATTCGATTTGATGCACTTTTAATGCGCCTCAATGCGCACTCACTCAGTTTTTTGTATTATTTTCAATATCAATCGAATGCAGAAAATTGAAATAAATGCGCGTCAGTGCGTCATGCATTAGTGCATTTAAAAATTATTGTATTTTTTGTATTATATATACGCGATAAGATTTTTATTGAATAAAAATTAGCGCTTGATTTCTATAATTTATTTTTATAATTTTTCAGTATAATCAAATTATATATAAGATGTTGCGAACAAAAAATATGATAAATTTTACAAATCTATCTTTTCTGTAATCCAACTTTCAACATTCTTTTAAGAAAATCATGTTTAACGAATATAGTACAAACAAGAGTTACTTGTCGTTAATGAAATCAAAAAGGTTAAAAGATTTAATCGGTTGACGAATAACTGTTAATCGCTGGTGAAATCTAGCCTGAAGAAAAAAATTGCAAAGCTGAGATTAATCCCGCGTAGAATTACTTGTACCAAGTCAAGAAACACAGAAGCGAAGATAGTGTGGATTAACGTCAAATTTGCGCGATTCTGTAACCACCAAAAGTTAACCGATAATAATAATAATAACCCCTCTTCCTGCGCTCGATTACCAATTGGCTCTCTGCATTGGCACGTTGGTGACTAACTATGAAGTCGGCATCATACGAGCACCAGCGAGCATCGCACGTCGACGACCTCGAAGGCCAAAGGTTGGGACAAGGTCGACCCTGCAGCACCGCCAAAGCGGTCCGCGTTCGACAGCTTCAAAAGGTGACGCAATCGCTAGAGAAAACAAAAAGAGAAAAAAGAAAATGAGTCTATCGATGTAGAGAGAATCTGTAGGATCGGAAAATGTCATCGCGAGGGCGCGCACCCCCGATTAATTTTGTAAAGCTTGCCAGAGAACCAAGTAGATCGACGCTTTGTTCTGGAATAGTGATAGCAAATTTTTTAATCTGCACTTTTTAATTAATTATTTTTTAAACTCTGAGTCGGAGTATTCATCCTGCACTGTGTCGTTTATATATCGGATATATGTCTTTAATCCTTTGTAGGAGAAACTTGGAAAGTAAAGTGGATACGAATAATTTGATAAATCGGACATAGTTAGGTAAAAAATTTTTTGTTCTTATACAAATTTAATATAATTTAATTATTATAGTACGCATAGAAGAAATATGTACAAATTAAAGATTTAATTTTTTCCTTTTGTGTAATCAGACATATTCTTGAATACTAATGCATCATTAGTATCGGTTATATTTATAGAATATATAAATTGAGAGAATATAATAACAAGCTAAATGTCTCAGCAATAAATAAAGCAGCATTACATCATTTTTTTTTCTACAAAGGGTCAATGCAGTTGCAATCGTGCTAGAGAACGAGTGCAACGACCAGATGTCTGCACGTTCTGTGACCTCGCACTCGGGAACGTTGACGATCGTTACCTTCTTGACACGATTCATATCTCATGTTCCTCACGATTCTGCATAGACTATAGTATTGCGTACCAAAGTCAGGTCTAAGTCATTTTCATTTAACACTAAAAAGGCCAAGGCGAGTATCTTAATCGCTAATTAGAATTTAAAATAAGTATGACTAAATATTGTTTATAGAAAAAAAATTTGTACAATTTTTTTTCATTTATTTTTAACGGTAATAGATATTACTACGCGAAATAAATTGTTTAGAAATTTAGACGCCGGCCCTTTTAGCGTTAACATTGTGTGCACGATTTGTAATTAATTTCAGTCTTTATGCGTGAATTTATGTTACTCGTCTGTCGCATTGCCACTGTAGGTAAGGGACTTCAGATTATCGCACCTACCGTAGAATAGCCACTCGCACAACAGATTTTACGTTACACACATATTTCCGACTTTGTTCATCACCGTATCAATGTGTTCAACATCTCATCGTTCATTTAGATTTTACACACGAGCGATGTTCGTCGACGATAATCGAAGTTTTCGTTTTAAATTACAGCACGACCACGCAACAAAGCACTCAAAATAGCAGTTCCCTGAGTCCTCAGCATGATCATACTTGGCTGGATGGCCTCAACAGTCCCCTCATCCAGGACGAGGGTGACAGCAAGATGTTGAAGCTGCGCTTCGACGTTTCTCAATACACGCCCGAGGAGATTGTCGTCAAAACTGTGGATAACAAGCTCTTGGTGAGCGGAACTTTTGTAGTTAAATCTTGGCGAGAGAGATGTCTTAATCACGTTTATTTTGGGCATCCGTTGACTTTGTAAAAAAATACTCAAAAATTTATTTAAAAATTTAAAAAATTGTTTACGTCCAAATATATAAATAAGATTTTTGATAAAGTTATCGTTTATCTTTAGACATTTCTCTCTCTTTCTCGCGTATAAATTAATTTACTCGAACAATAGATTAGTCAAAATATTACTGTATATTCCAATTTATTGCTCCGTGAGTGTTCCAATTTATTGCTTCTGCTCAATTCATCTGGCAAACGCAGGAAATTCGAAATTATTACACGGTTGACTCATCGCACATGATACTCTCGCCGGTATGGTCTGTTGCACAACTTGGCAAGATGCAAATCGGGTTCAAGTTTTTGCGCAATTGGCGAGGATTGGCGCGACGCAAAGTTGCCGGTCCATGCATAATATGCCGTCATAATGGCGGCGAAGTTAGTTACACGGATTGCATGCCGCCATATAATTGTTTCTAGATAAATTTCTAATTTGCGTTTGCCAAAGATATTAATTGCTCGGAATTATCGATTATTCTTATATATTTTACGATACAGTTTTATATCCTAAATGGAAAATTTAAGATTTAGACAAACACTGTTAAATTAAATATGAAAATATTGTTTTATTCTCTTTTCAAAAATTTACATTTAAATTCTATCAGCGAGTATGGGAAATAATCAATAGTGTAAATGCAAAGTATTTTTCGCGAATCCTTACGAACTGCATATGTAGAACGTAATTGTTCACGTTACATCACTTCCTGCCGGGAAGTTGGCTTCATCGAGTGAACCGACCGAATTCACACGAGAGACGAAGCTTCGTTTAGCGGTTTCGATGATCAGTTCTGAAACGCAATTTTATCTCTCTCGAACGGTCAATTTATATAAATTTAGCAAATTTATAAGAATTCATCTTTTTTCGAATATTAGAATTTTATGCAACGTAAAATATTAAAGCTGAAATTCCTTGGGATTTCTATATACGCGCGTCTTCGAGCTCCTCTAATGCTCCCGCGTCGACTTGGACGGAAATAACTGATGCCGAAAATAAATTCACGCCAGCCGTCATACCGGCGGACCGGAATAATGTTCGACCATTGTGAGCAAACGAGTCGAAATCGAAATACGGGACGACGCGAGACGTCTTTTTTGTGTAACTGCACTTTGATAGTAGCAATACAAATATTTTAATAATTTAATAAAAACGCTGCATCTGTAGCTAATTTAATAAATTTAATGTTACAGAAAATAAATTTTGTTAGAGAATCATTAATCTCTTAATGAGAGAGAAAAAAAGAGAAAATTTATGTAATATCAGTAAATAAATAATTACTTTAATTTACGCGGCAAAGAATATTAAATTTTATTGTGCTTCTAAATATCATTTTAGTTCATTATTTGTTGATATTTTGATAACACGAGCAAATAATCATAGAATTGTTTATTTCAATCTTTTAATTGTGATCGTTTCATCGAGAGGGATAATAAAATTGTGGAAATTAAGTATATTCTTTTTCTCTCTCTTTCTCGAGCAGATAGGTCTTGCAAAAATTCTTCTACCGTTATGCATGCTTGGATGATGAGGTCATTGTACCATCGCACTCTTGTTCTTGATCGCGATGAAAGGAAGATTATAGTGAAAGATCCGTCGACGAACGAGGCACAGTATATTATTTTAATGATTTATTCGGTTGGCCGATTCGAATATTGTTTCATTCTAATTTCATGGTCTCTTGAAAGTCATGACTAATAAGGCACATCACGAAGTAGATATATTTTATACGAGATGCTTAAAAAATTGCACTCTTCCGCAGTTTGTTTAAATCAGAAGAGTATCAGCTTGCCATTCGACAGAGAACATTTTATTATTTATAAAATTTTTATCAAAGTCGAAGAAATAAAGAATCATTTGTTGTTGTGATATTATTTGGTATCACAATTATTGATATCTCATTGGTGAAAGAAACATTGATTTTCTTAACATCGGTTTCAAGTAGTTTATATTAGTTCAGTGGAAACTGAATGGCGGCTGTCAAAACATTTGCTTGTCTGCTGGATTGTCTGTATGTCAATCTAAAGAGTACGTTTTCGTTTTTTATTCATTTCCATTTATCGTGGATCTTTCTTGAGAGGCCATCGATATATCTATGTTCGAATAAATTCTCTATTTTTTTTCTACGTTTGTACTTTTTTCATATTTTTTAAAATTATTTTAAAGCTTAGCCACATATGTGCGTAATCTAATTTTTTTTCAATCTCTCGCTGTTTCTCTCTTTTTTTTCTTGTATGCGAATATAATGAGATAATTTTATTCAGTGCAGCATCGGTTTATTTAATTTAATTTTTTTGACAAAAAAAATCCTTTCTATAAAATAATTTCGTGGGGACGCGGATAATCTTCCATAAATGGATTCGCCAGACGGAAACTGACAGCACTAAAAAAGAGCTCGAAACTGCTTGTCGTATATTGTGGTCAGGGTCTGGAGAATTTAGGTCGGTTGTGCCGCAAACTGACCTTAAAGGGCTCAACCAAGGACGATGCTCCGAAGGACGAGCGTTCCGGGATGGAAATGGGATGTGAATACGAGGGTATAGAACAGAGCATTTCCCGCGAGTTTATGGCCACTTGACGTCATCGCAGAAGCGATGAAAAGACATACATTCTTGTCCCCTTTCTCGTATCTTTTTTATAGTACGTAATCATGTAGTTTTAAGTTTGGATTTTGATAGAGATTTAATTGGTGGCTTAGATTTAAAGGAAATTTGTATTTAATATCGATAAACTCTTTCCGTCGTAATCTCTTTCTGTCTCGAAAGCTTACATTTCATATTATATGGGAATTTTAATCAACTTTTAAGTTCTCGGGTCTGCTTTACAATGAAATGGAAGTAGGAACGTCAAAATTCATGATTATATTTAGTTGCTGAGTCACAGCTGCCAGAAGCTTACGTTATTTTCGACAATCGCGATACCAAATTTCGGAACTATCAAAAATATTTCACTCTAAATATATCTTGTTTTATAAAGAAAATTATAGAAATGTACGAAATTAATTATCTATAATTTTTTATTTTTATATTATAAAATTATTATATTTTTAAAGAGAAAGTGAAGTTATGCTAGAAATATATTTAATGTATAACAATATCTATGTAAAATTTTTATAAAAATGCAGGCGCGCGTAAGCTTTCGAAATATTTGAGATAATCGTATAATCGCTATGATATGTCATGTTTATTGTGACTCAAATTTCTTTAGCGTAGCACAAATCGATAGTTTGACAAATCAGTCGTTTCAATGAATGGTGGTTACAGCTGGTAAGATTGCATAACGTTCGCCTCTCTCGTAAGACGATATCCGTCGCGAAAACTTAGATCTTGCAAAGAGTTGGGTTACTATAGTTCACGACACCTCTTTCCTTTTCGTCTTTTTCTTCGTTCTCTTTCTCTCTCGGTTTTGCATTACACGCGCACACTTTTTTCCGCGTGATAGTTTTAATCTTTTATACGGTCGGCGCGATCGATATCCCAAGAAATATAATACAAAACAGGAAAATCATATTATCGATTTGATGACCGTCACGTCATGGCAAATTATCATGGCTTTCTAAATCATTTCATGGCTTAGAAAAAAAAAGTTCCAGTTCTTGGCATATCGATCTGCATTAAATAATCCATATTTTTCGGATTTTGAAACGAACGATCGATTGATTAGAAACTATTCTTTTTTCATCAAGCCTCATAAAAGAAATATTTCGTTATGAGGAAATCGACGCATATTATTAACAATAAATTGACGAATTATTATCTGTCTTTTTCTATTTTGTGTAGATTATTTGCAAGGAAATAAAATTTTTAAAGAAATGCTACCGAGATATAAATGATTGCTGCGAGAAACTAGCGTTACTAAAAAATTCAAAGAATTAATTATATCGGCTGTCTTTGTTATCTGTGTAGTGCTTTTACTGTCATTTATACTATGTCAGCAGAACGAGAAGCAGTGCCAAGGAATTTATATGCAAAAATTATGCAAGGTAATCACCTTGAAATCGAATATGAAATGACCGGTCTTACAATGGTAAATAAGGAGAAGAAACGCTAAAGATGCGCGTATAATAGACAGATGCAATTCAAGCATTGACAATCAGACGTCCAATTTTTCACATGACGCAAGGTTAAGACCGGTTTATTTCGTTCGTTGGCACGTATCGCGGACGACGACAGATAGATCCTCTCTCGGTTCTCTTGACAGCGCGATGGAAGACGTTCGAGAAGCGAATCGAAGCAAATCGATTAACTCATTAACAGCTTTTACGTAATGCAATTAGCACACGGCAGGCCTCACCTACCGTTCGCAACTCTGTCTTTGATGTATCTGCTACTCTAATGGGCGCGGCTGTGTAGCCTGCACCTGCATTTTTTTCGCGTGCGACAAAGCTATCGAGATACGCTTGAAGAAATATCATCGCGATTAGCGACGAGAGGCAACCTCATGACTTACTGTTGATAGTGATCGGCAGAAAACAGCAGACCCTTTTTTTTCTTTTATTCATCTTTTCGTCTCTGTTTATATTTTTAATATTCGCTTGAATACTCTGAAATAATATTCGTGTGATGAAGAACAAGTTCTTAATTATAATAAAATAAAAATATCGCCGACTCTCTCTCTCTCTCTTTCTCTCTTTCACTGTTTGACTGTACAACTGTAAAAAATTTAATTTGGCTTAATTTTTGAAATTTTTGATATTAAGAATCATTTTCTTTGAGACTGTAAATGTGGATGAACATATCCAGGACACATGTTACACGTGCGCGTTATAAAAGTATAGTACTCTTGTTAATTTGATCGTGTGATTCAACATTCTCGCTCTACCACCGATTTTCAAGGCAAGTTGCTTCGCTCTTGTAAGAACTTCGCGATTTCTAAATACGTCGCTGATCGAACGCATCGTTAACATGATGTAACGTCTACGTCATAACAACATTCGTTTACACAAAACATCTCGACGATGTTATATGCGAGTCGCATAGTAATATTTGCGCATCTTCGAACGGCAGCACTCGTGTGATATTTACTTTAAAACTAGTTTCTAGCAGAAATTTATTTTGAAAAATGCAGCCATCAAATTGTTACAAAAAAAAAAACAATCACACAGTTGGTAGTAATTTATAAAGATAATATTGCGCAATATATGTTCGAACTTGATAAAGTCGACTTTATAGTATAAGTCATAGATCGACCGCATATTTCATTGCTTTTTTCAAAATCTAGATGAATATTTCACGATGAAGAATGTGGATCGTAACGAGTGAAATGTGTCACGCGAGCGAGTTAGGTTTGAAAAAAAATTAGGACGCGGGGTATATAAAGTCTGTATACATATCAACGGCGATCACTTTGCGATAAAATGTAAATTCTTATCGATCGTCAATTAACAAAAGAGTCTTGCTCCATATAATCTTGTTGCAAAAAACCGATATATATTCAAGAAAAATACACATTCCGAGCGTGACTTTTGCAAAATGTTTTCATTAAAAAATGAAATAGAAGATGATATTTTTATCTCGCGCAAAAAACAGGATCGAATGGAAAGAGGATTCGCAAGAAAGCAACCATCCTTTAAAATATTGATTTGCGTTGACGTGATGTTGAAGATAATATGGCGGTGCGATCCGCACTTCTCGATCCGTCTTTCTCCGTCTTTCTCGTCCTTCGTCCTGCTGTATACATTTCGATTTTTCCTCGACATAGCTCTCGTAAAACGTAAAGGTGTCCCAATTATGTCGCGGCTTGCATAACCCACTTTTGTCGCTGTTCTAATATAAGGAGGTTTCATTTTCCGTTCTATGTCAATGAGTTTTCACTAAACTGGCGACAAGCCATAATCATATTATTATTTGTACTATTCGCGAAATTTACCTTAGATATGCAAGAACAATAAGATACAAGTCTATAATTAAAGAAATATTTTAATTTGAAAGTTGATACATAATTACGTCTCTCATATTTTGTGAGAGTTTCAAATTAATTTTTATAATTTAAGTATTATCATATAAACACTTCTGTTAAATTACAATAATTTGAATATTCAACAAATTTTAGAAAATTGATTACATGAAGAAAATTCTTTACACGAAATATATAGATTTGCGTTTATAAATATGTCGTATTTTTTCGTACAAGCTTTTCGCGAAAACGTAATCAATATATCTCGCGTGCATTTGTAACATAATGCGTATGCGTAATTCGCGTACGGAAAAATGAGATCGATGTCTGATATGTTATACCAGCATACGCGTCTACTAAGGAGATGAAACCTACGCTTGGTCAAACGAAACGGGCATGACTCATGGGCTCATGGCTCGAACGAATGAGTCAATACGGTCACTATTACGAGTGCATTCTCGTTACCCTATTTCTAGATCTCTCTGGAAAATTAATTGCCTGTGAGAACATCACGAAAGCCACTTCAAGTATATACATCGTTTTACATCATTATTACTCATGAAAATTTTATTGCGCTAACGATAATTTCTTGTTGCTCGCGATAGAATTATGTCGCGTATATACGACTTTCGAAGAAAAGTGCGAGAAGGGACCATTACTTTGATAGCGCGTTTATGATGATAAATCAATCGCGACACGTTTTAATATTTGGCGTACACAATACGAATATTAACGTAACTTGTAAATTTACATTAGTAAGCGTATGTACGCGCAAACATACTATGAATCGCGAATAAAATATTACTATATTGTTAACATTAATAATGATCTATGCTAAAATAATAAATTTTTTAGCTATACTACAGAATTACGGCATAATTTGGCTATTAGCCATAATATATTTTAGTTTCAAGGTAAAAACGGACACATTCAAAATCTGGTTGCAACATCTTGCGTTACTTTGATATAGGGTTAACTTTTATTGGGAAAAAAATTTCTCTCTCTCTCTCTCTCTTTCTCTATTAGAAAATTTTTTTTCCTAATAAAAGTTAACTCTATATAAAAACACGCAGGATGCTATATATATATTCTGGATATATATCTAGATCTAAAATCTACATGGAAACGATAAACAAATTGCTAAATCTAGCTTATTTGATTAAAACTGATGATTCGACCGGATTTAAAATTATTACGTTACTTTTTTCTGTGTATGATTGCAGGCAATTGCGTTTCTCAATGAATCGTATGAATAGTGATAAAATTACAAGATTCGGATATCGTGCACAAGGTCTCTCAAATAACATAATGCTTTTGTTTCAGGTCCACGCTAAACACGAGGAGAAGACGGAGAGCAAATCAGTATACAGAGAGTACAATCGGGAATTCTTGTTGCCGAAAGGAACCAATCCCGAGAGCATTAAGTCTTCTTTGAGTAAGGATGGTGTTCTTACCGTGGAAGCCCCCTTACCAGCGATCGGATCGGGCGAGAAATTAATCCCGATTGCACATCAGTAAACTCGTGACGAATCGTCGAAAAACCAATTTCTTATTTCCTGTCTCCGAACTCCTGTTCCAACTACCATTCAACTTACCCAACTTGGATCTTTCCGTAAGTCTTTTCATCCTTCTTTTACAATTCCTTACATATAAAACTTACTTATTGTTATTGTTAGACACGAGTCGATTTATCACGTGCGAGAAAGTTTGACCAATTTTAACTAAATAGCAGAAACGGCGAGCGATCGCGTCAAGTAATGCGTATCGAATTTCATTAGCTTAAAAAAGAGAAAAGAGAAATCAAACGTAGAGATCAATGTTGAAGTGCTATAAAGATAAAAAATCAGATGAGATGTTTGATATAAAATATTTTCCTTTTTCATACGAGCAGCTTTAATACAGCTTTGATACACAAGATATTTCATCTTCCCTCGTAGAAAAATAGCATACTTTTTTCAGAGAGATGTGCATTGCCTTTTTTGAAAAGATATACTTTAGTTAGATTTTTTTTTTTTTTTTTTTTTTTAAATTTGTGAGCTATACTGCTTACTTGTGCACCGCGTATCAACGAATCGAAATTATTACAAATGTATGGAAAAGCGATTGTTTGTAATGGTTAACTTATATATATGTGTTAGTTTAGGTGTACGTTAAAAGACTATAACACAATGCTTAGTGTGTGTATATATACATGAGCATTATATACTGATATTATTTATGGATATTTTAATATTTTCGAAATGCGCATAATATTTAAAGGTAATGCAAACACAAGTTTAAATAAAAATTGATGATAAGAAAATTTATATACAATTTATATTTCCCTGACAATGAGAGGAACCTTCGTGAAACATAGGGTGAGTAATAATATGCATATAAGTTTGAAAAATTTGTAACAATTTAGTGTGTGAAACGTACTTTCCGTTAACAACAGTATTTAGATTGCACATTGATAACAAGATACATATCATAGATGTTTAATTTGCCTTTATTAACAAAATATTTTTTTATATACAAATAAATCTCTTACGTTGAATTATTATAAAATTGTTATACAACATTTGTGTTTGTATTGTTTCTTAAAACAAGAGAATTTAAACATTATATTTCGGAATAAATAATATTACATGATTGACTTTTGTATTCGTATTATCTCTAGGAAAAGAGTTTCGATAAAAAAATATTAAATAATCCTATATATCCTATAATCCTGTATACAATTTACGATAGACAAATCTGTTCATTGTTACAAACAATCGATATAAAATTGCACATGATTATATCGATATTGCATGTATAAAATAGCAAAAGTTTTACAGATTTATTTCACGAATTGTACAAGTTATATTCATACATTTTTGTCATGGATCTATAGAGTTTTACTTCTACTTGACAAAAACGTGTTTTATCTTTTAGATTTATGTACAAGATTATAACATGAAGACGTCGTATTATCTTTTATTATTTTGGCATACTTTTTTGAATCATTGTGGTAAAAGTGATAAAAAACACGTTATCTACTAGCCAATAAAACGTACTAATAAAATATTAATTAAAGTATCGAGATTGGAAACAATATTACGCGGCTTTGCTGCGAAAAAAAAAGAGGATCAGTCTCGAATCGAATTGATAAAATTTACATGTTACAATATAAAACACATTTTTGTTCCGTATCTAAATATTATTCACGTAACATGTTTATCGTGATAAAAGAGAAAAGTAAAAATTTTTTTATTAAAAAAATTTTTATATTCTCGGTATACACTCGGTATATACTCGGTTAAAATTTTTATATACTCGGGATTTCGGCGGAAAATAACGGCGCGTCTGATGCGGTAAACGTTGGTGATTTACCTTCTCTCGCAATGCGCAACGCTTGGTGAATCGACACGGTATCGAGTTCTTTTTGATTCGGCTTCTCGTTATCAAGACAGATATCGGCAGCTCTCTTACCAAACGGCTCCAAAACTTTAACTCTATAATCCACTATTGTTGATACTGGATTACCAGTCAATCTCAGATTCTCCAAACAAGGTAGATGACCGATGTGTTTTACCTCCTCGATTTTTTCGATGCGATTGCAGCTTACATCCAATCCCTCCAAAGAGTATAACTTTGAGAAACTAGCGAGTGACGTTAATTTGTTTTGCGATAAATCGATATATACGATGTATCCGAGTCTTGTGTAAAGATCATCCGGCAGACTGGTAAAATTATTCGATGCTAGATACAATTGAGATAATCTCGGTAATAACGTAACATTGGAAATCTCAGACAAGTGATTGTTGTTCAATGTCAGACACTCTATGTGCGGCAATAATTTAATTGCCTCATCTATGACTTCTATGCGATTATCGCTGAGATCCAAATGTGTAACTTTTAACCATACATGAGAATCATTGGCATTTATGATATTTTTATGAACTTCTTCGCACATGGCCAATTCTACAATGTTTCTGAGCTTAGTATTAGTAACTTTTAGTGTAGTCACGGTATCTCGAAGATTTCCCATATTATAGACTTTATCCACGGGATATCGATCGACTGTCAAATATTGCACGTTTTTGAAGGTGGATAATTCTATAGATAATGCAGACGAATAAATATTACTAGTTTTATAAGGTTCTAAACTTCCTTCAATCGTGAGATTAGTTAAGTGAGAATTAAAGTCCAAAACGTGACTAAAATCGTATTTTTTATCCACAACTTCCAAAGAGGGACACGGTTGTTTCAGTCTCTCGCTAATCGCATAAAGCTGAAAATAAACAGGAATGATATTAGTATCTCATAATACAAATTTGCATTGAGTAAAAATATAGACTATAGATTATATTTATCACCTGTACAGGGTTAAATTTATAGCTTGAACTCTGTAGAAGAGTATTGCCATTCGTAAAGAATTCCAAGGCCATACTTTGTAGCAGAAAGTATATATCGTACACATGTAGGTCTAGGAATACAGCTAATTCTCTAGGCATTGCCTTCTTCAAATAATTATAAACAGCGTTGAGATATATTTCGAGACTCTGCCGACGTTTCTCCACAAAGGCTTCGCACTTGTTACCAATGAGTTTTTTCGGCGGTAAAATATCCTTCTCGACGCAATGCTCGGAGACGAGCTTCTCGTGCAATTCCGCAAAGTCATTGTATCTAGAACACAAAGAGGAGCTATATATTTTTCTCTGATCGACCATTGTCTCTTAAGTTAATTAGAATAGAAAAACTAAACGTGCGCAATATTTGCGGCGAAAATGAGTGTAATTGCCAATATTACCTGTGTCTCACGGTCCATTTGATCGATGCAATCCCAATCTCGATGCAATAATACGTGACTCCGTCCGTCGTGTCGGCCGACGGTATTTTCAAGCATACATTTTCCTGGTTCGACAGCAGACACGCCATTATCGCGTCGCGATGCGTGTTTCAATTCGTTTATACGTGGCAAGTAATTTCACGCGATAATTAGAGAACCAGAAGTTATCCCTCCACGTCGCGCGATCTCTCCGGAATAACGTAGAGCGAAACGCGAAACGCAGCGCGGCACGGTGCGGGGCATTTAAGGACAAAGTCTGCAATCTTGGTGCATCGAGCTCCGTGTCCCCGCCCACTGCTTATCACTGTCGCTGCGGGGTACTCTGCGACGTTGATTAACGTGGAACCAAAACCATATCTCTACGACACGACACGAGAGCATACGCATCTCTCAACATTTTTGACAGCTACCGAACAGCTGTGGAGTGTGGAGAACAAACCGCGCCCGATGCTGCCATCTTACGGCGAGACATCGAACTATGAAGTTGTCGTTGCGAAGAACGCCGCGAGATGTCGTCTCATGCATCTTGCGCGTCCATTTGAATTACGACACTCAAAATCTTCCGTTACAGTTTCGTAGCGCGCGATGGACGGCAATTACGTACGTACGTTTAAACTGTGGTGCTTTGTCCTGGAAGAGGATGGAAATCCATAAAGGGAAGAAGAAGAAGGAGACGTATGTACGTTTATAGTTTGTTATTATTTCGTGTTTTTTCTTCGCTCGTAGTTGCTCCTCGTTCTTATCTCCCCCGAGCATCAATCCATTTTCTCGCTCGTGCGGTAAACAAGATATAACCTGAGTTATGAATTTTTCCGAGGCGCGAGAGGAATGTCCTTGGATAGTATACGGTACTCTTTAAAGGACAACTTTTTGAGAAACGAGATACTAGAGTACTTAATTTCATTAATATATAATTATATAAAAGATAATGAAAAAGAGAAATAGACAGAGATTCGAATGTATATATTACAGTTACTGCTGCATCTTTTCGTAAAATATTCACGCGTACAATCATCCATTTTTTTCAGCAGTATCTTTTTATCAGTAACGCGTAGTTTTATCAGGATAAAACAAAAATCGTTCTTGTGACCGCTTTAGAAAAATGTTCGGCGAACGATATCGTTTGATATCTGTCGGCGATCTTTCGTGCGAGCGAGGTATTTTTTTCAATCGCGTTTCGAATATCGTGAGAATTTATCAACGTTTCACCGATAAGATATCCGTCGAGAGAGAGAGAGAGAGAGAGAGAATGAGAATGAGAGAGCAAGAAAGTGAACGAACGAGCATCTCGAAATACACGCGAGTGCGAGCGTGATTTTGCGTGTTTATCTCGAGCGTCCGCAGATATTACGGAGAGCGTATTCAGCTAGGAAAGAAATTTGTTTTTGCTTAACGAAAGGGCAGATCGGGCTACCACAAAACGAGCTCGCTCGCTCATTCATGGCAGCTCTCATTGGCAACAACCTGTTGCCGCAGTGGCGTAACTGATGCTTCCTATCGAGGTGCTATATCAAATGGGACGGTTCATTACACCAACATTCGGATTAGACACATAATGTCCTCGAATTAGCAGTAAATAAATGTATAGGAAGCTACTCCTTGGAAAATTTCGAATCGATTTCTATTGTAAACATATCGAAACGTTAATAATTCTCTAGTTATGGAATACGATTCATTGTTTAATTTGAAGTGAATATTAATGTAACGGAATTTAATTTGAAGTGAGACATGCTAAAAATTCTAATATTAAAGTTTGTCAGAAATAATTTCCAAATTTTACAAGGAACATATCTATTTTTCATTATTTTTATTACAATATTGTATATTTGGAATTGTAATAAAATTGTTGTATTTTTAGTTCTAAAAAGAATTTAAAACTGAATAGGTATTTTGATTTTGAATTTAGTTCAAATCCAGATCAAATTGCTTTATTCATTTATATTTGAATCAAAGACATGGCTGTCAATGCATTTTATAAAATAATATTTATATTAATCGCGTGGGGCCCAGAGTCTCGTTAATTACGCCACTGACAGATTGGATGCTGCGTCAGGAGCAATGGCGGCTTACCTGGCTGGCTATGCTCGCTGCTACCCCCCCCCCCCCCCCTTTGTTTCCCCTTACCTTCATCGCGTTCCTCGGGGGCAAGCCGACGAACCTGTTGCCCGTTCTCATCCAGTATCGTGTCGGTTTCGTCCTTATGCGGTTCGCGTGCTCTCATGGCGCGCGCGCGCGCCCAGGTGTGTGTGTTTATCGTTCAAAAAACGCGGCGGAAAACGCGTGTTGCGTGCGTTGGAAAAAAAAAGTGGTCCTCAGGTGATCTTTGCAGGTACGATTGAGATCGGTGAGAGCTTTCTTGGCTCCTCTTCTCGAACCGCGCGTCGACGCGTCATCGCAGGGTTCGCTCGCGCTTTCATCACTGCTCGTGCGGCGATCGTTTGTTCGATCGTCGAAATATTTTTCGGAAAAGCGACGAAAAATTTTTGCGAAAAATTGTAAGGGAAACGGTAAACAACGGTAAACATTGTGCTTTTGTGTCGGTGTTTTGGACAAAAAAAGGATCTGATATATTACCGATCGCGTGGCCATTTGTTTGCATGTACGACGATCTTTTTAAACGTTCGACCGATGTGACATTTGAATTTCGACGACTACTTCCTCAAAAGAGATTGCGAAATCGGAATATAAATGGTAAACGATGCCTTACTGTAGGAAATGTGATTTTTCTTGGATATCGTTACGAAAAATCTGGTGAGAAACGAAGCGAAAAATGTAGCTTCGGACGTTCGTGACGGAAGATTTTACAATTCGCGAGAGAGTTGAGCGTGTTCGCCAAAAAAAGATTGATCGCGTGGGAAGTGTATGTATTGAATTAAGTGCAGTGACACACACAAAGTAGATTATGGATTATACCTTTCACGATCGGTAAAGCGTCGATCTGACGACCACATTCCTGAGGACGCGTCGGTTCTTCGTTACTTTGAACCAAGGACGGTGAGTTTCAACGATTACAGCCTCCGATCAATCCTTTCGTGATAGACATACAAATCTACCTGCGATTAATAGAAACATTAATGTTAATGACAATATAATACTATTCGCAAAATTTCTGTCTTTTTTTTTTTTTTTTATACGTTACATGCGTACGTTAATCTATCTCTGATAACACAAAAATATGTTATCATTGATTACAACGGTATGTAGCTTTGGTAATTACACGATAGTGATCCTCGTGTTACGGGGAGCAAAAAGAAGTAACGTGTTTCTATGATTTTATCAAGACATCGTGAAGGTGCGATTAACGTGACAAAAATTGTGTGAACGAACCGTCGGAAAACGAAATAAATCCGTGATTTATAAGCAATCTGGTAAAGTGAATTGCTCAGGTAGATATTTCGGTTGTAGGCGTATTCAGGCATTCTTGCCATGTCATTGATGTATCAGCGACATAGAGAAAGATCATTAAAAGAAAGAGCTACTCGTATAAGAAGGAGAAAATTATGTAAATGTAATTCTTAGTCGTGGACTAATCAAATTGTCATGCGCTGGAATGCGCTGTAAAGTTCAAATGAATTTATAAGCTTATACATTATACTATAAATGTTATTAATCACTAATAAACAAAATGATAGGCTTGTCGGAACACATATAAAATCTTTCGCCACAATTTTTTAGATGTTTTATATCTTAAATTTTACTTTTAGTTTTTTTTTTTTTTTTTTTTGTAGTGTAGCTGTTCAATGTACTTTGAAAGCAAATGTAAATATTATAAAATTAGACAGCACTTCAATAGAGAAAAATTAAGTAAAAGTATTGGATTTTAAATATTTTATTGTGCAATTTTTCCTTTCATTATCAATTTCGTGTATCGATATAAAATTTCAATTATTTCATATAAATGAAATTTTTCGATGTTATACACATATTTATTTTCTCAGTTTCTGAAAAATTTATTTCGCAGATATTTCCTTTTTCTTTTTCGCCCATATATATTTAAAAAAAAACTCAAGTTGTAATTTGTGAGAACTGTTAAAATAATCACGCACGCGCATATCCGCCAGAACAGTGCCCTTCTGTGGCTTTAAATTTAATATCGTCGTCTTTCTTGCAGCTTGCCGTTTCCGATTACGTACTTGGAACAAGAGAGAAAGAGAGGTTGCAGGACGGAGAGGATACTTTAGCGAACGAGAGAACAGAGGATGCTGGATGCCGTGAGACCGTTCGTTGAAGCCGGGATCGTGGCGGAGGTGAGTGGCCGCTTCTTTCTCTTCCGCTTGGAATGTTGCGTTGTTTCTCGTCTCTCATATCGAGGAACGAAGAAGCCCTTCACGTTCGATTAGAGCTCAACGATACCCGTTATAATACGTCTTTTTTTTTATTTTTATTTTATTTTATTTTATTTTTTTTTTTGCTGACAAAGTCAGTCGTGGAACACTGATCTGTCTCGTCTCGTGAGAAATAACTCGCGCTACGGGCTTCTCTTTGAAAGTTTGCTGCTTTCACAAGAATCGGTTGATCTTCGCGTTGACAGGTGCTCCATAAATCATTTTGTTTAATTCGACTCGAATTTCATTGAGCTTTGATCGAGCAGCCTAAAGTGTTTTCCGGCATTTCGCATGCATGCAGGTTTCTGTCTCTCGTCTGACAATTTAACGATTGAAGCATTATATATATATACAAAAGCCCAGTTCGCCGATTTCTCGGTGCAGCGGAATTTGCTTAAAAGCAAAGTGCAGTTGCGCTTTGCGTAAAATAACGCAATTAAGAACATATTGAACGCGGTTGAGCAAAGTGTAATTTACACCCGAGCGCGTTCGAAATCGATGAGAAATATTCCTTGTTTCGCCCAAGTTCATAGGAATTATAATTAAACAAAATAAGGATTATATTTAAAATATTGATTATACACACTGAAAAAGGAATATTATTATACTGCAAAAAGCAGTTCTAAAATTTGTTTACTTCGAATTAAATGAAACGCCATTACAAAATATCAGGTTGATCTAGTTTTGTTGACAAGCATTTTGCAACATAAAGTTTTTATAAATTTTAAACTAATATGTTTTTGTGCATTTTCGACATGAATTTAAAATAGTTGAATTATATTGCTGCACAGCTCGGCTATATCGCGTATTCTAACTGATCTATGAAGATTAAACGGAGTGTCACAAAGAGAAAGAGAGAGAGAAAGCCTTTCAAATCCCAGATGTAGAAACTAATAGCGAATTATAATATCTTCCTAATATTGAAAATGAAAGAGTTGTGAAAATTAGAACAAAAATAGCTCATATATATTATATATTACAAAAATAAATGCGTTTTTATATATTTCGAGTCACGATTTCCTCATCCGTCGAGTAACTTCTTCCGTGACATAACGCAACGCGTTCATGTGGAACGTCGCGGAAAGCCGATCGGGAAATCGGGAATTAGTCTGCC